GGTTTCCTAGTACATTAAAGTTGTGTTTATACCATACCATACCATGTCATACTACACTATATTGTGTGTAATAGCACTGTGTCTTTAAAAGCAATGTAGATGTCTTAATTAAGAGATACTTTGTTACTATTCAAGAGACTGAAGTGAGAGGATCACTTGAGCCCAGGAGTTTGAGGCTGCAGTGAGCTATGATTGCCACAGCACTCCAGCCTGGGTAACAGAGTGAGACCCCATCCCCCGCCCACCAAAAAAACTCAAAAATTTTATTTCTAAAAAATGCTAGTGATCATCTGAGCCTTCAGCAAGTCGTATTCTTTTTGCTGGTGGCAGGTCTTTCCTTGATGTTTTGTTTTTTAAATACGCGCGTGTGTGTGTGTGTGTGTGTGTGTGTGTGTGTGTGTGTGTCAGAAGTGGGATTTGAATTGCCTTGATGTCAATGGCTGCTTACTGATCAGAGTGGTGATTGCTGAAAGTTGGGGTGGCTGTGGCAATTTCTTAAGACAACAAGGAGGTTGTTGCATCCATGGGCCCTCCCTTTCATGAAAGATTTCTCTGTAGCATGCCATGCTGTTTGATAGCATTTTACCCACAATAGAACCTCTTTAAAAACTGAAGCTAGTTCTCTCCAACCCTACTGCTACTTTATCAACTAAGTTTCTGTAATGTTCTAAGTCCTTTGTTGTCACTTCAGCAATGTTCACAGCATCTTTACTAGGATTGTATACCATCTCAAAAAAAAAATTACTTTGCTTACTCATTCATAAGGAGTAACTTTTTTTTTTTTTTTTTTTTTTTTTGAGACAAAGTCTCACCTTGTCACCTAGGCTGGAGTGCAATGGTGCAATCTTGGCTCACTGCAATCTCTGCCTCCAAGTTCAAGCAGTTTTCCTGCCTCAGCCTCTGAGTAGCTGGGATTACAGGTGTGCGCCACCATGCCCAGCTAATTTTTTGTATCTTTAGTAGAGACGGGGTTTCACCATGCTGGCCAGGCTGGTCTTGAACTCCTGACATCGTGATCTGCCCGCCTTGGCCTCCCAAAGTGCTGGTATTACAGGTGTGAGCCACTGTGCCCAGCCAGAAATAACATCTTATCCATTCAAGTTTGATCATAAGATTGCAGCAATTCAATCACATCTTCAGATTTCACTTCTAATTCTGGTTCTCTTACTATTTTCACCACATAGGCATCTACTTCCTCCACTGAAGTCTTGGACCTCTCAAAGTCATCCATGAGGGAATGGAATCAACTTCTTCCAAACTCCCGTTAATGTTGATATTTTGACATTCTTCTATGAATCATGAATGTTCTTAATGGCATCTAGAATGGTGAATCCTTTCCTGAAGATTTTCGGTTTATTCTTCCTGGATCTATTAATCACTGCCTGTGGCACCTGTAGCCTTACAAAATGTATTTTGTTCTTTCTTTTTTTTTTTTTCTTTTTAGACAGGGTCTTGCTGTGTCACCCAGGCAGGAGTGCAGTGGTGCCATATTGGCTTATTCAGCCTTAATCCCCTGTGCTCAAAGTGATCTTTCTACCTCAGCCTTCTAAGTAGCTGGGACCACAGATGCGTACCACCCTGCCTGGCTAACTTTTTTGTATTTTTTATAAAGATGTCGTCTTGCCATGTTGCCCAGAATGGTCTTGAACTCCCAGGCTCAAGCAGTCTGCCCACCTTGACTTCCCAAAGTGCTAAGATCATAGGTGTGAGCCATTACACCTGGTCACAAAATGTATTTAAAAAAAAAAAAAAAAAAAACAACTGAAAAACTTGATGGTCAAAATTACTTCTTGATCCATGGACTGCAGAATGGATGCTGTGTTAGCAGTCATGAAAATAACATCTCCTTGTACATCTCCATCAGAGCTCTTAAGTGACTAGGTGCATTGTCAGTGAGCAGTAATTTGAAAGGAATCTTTTTTCTGAGCAGTAGATTTCCACAGTGGTCTTAAAACCATGGTGTAAACAGACGTGCTATCATCTAGGCTTTGTTGTTCCATTTATAGAGCATGGGCAGAATAGGTTTTAACAACATTTTTAAGGGCCCTAGGGTTTTCTGAATGGTAAATTAACATTGGCTTCAACTTCAAGTCACCAGATGCATTAGCCCCTAACAAGAGAGTCAGCCTGTCCGTTGAAGCTAGGCATTAACTTCTCTATAGCTGTGAAAGTCCTATTTTGTGAGAGCTCACACATAAAAAAAGAGAAAGTTCTAGATCATATCTTTTCCCAGTATATGGTTATTTCATCTATATTGAAAATTTTTTGTTTAGTGTAACCACCTTCATCAAATAGCTAGATCTTCTGGATAACTCGCTGCAGTTTCTACATCAGCACCTGATGCCTTATTTTGTGTTAATGGAGACAACTTCTTTCCTTAAACCTCATGAACTAACCTTGCTTCAAACTTTTCTTCTGTAAGCTCTCTTACTTCTCTCAACCTAGATATAATTAAAGAGAGTTAGGGCCTTGCCCTTGATTAGGTTTTGGCTAATGGGAATGTTGTGGCTGGTTTGATCTTCTGTCCAAACCCAAAACCTTCTCCATATCAGCAATAAGGCTGTTATGCTTCCTCTCCCCTCCTCTCCTTTCCCCTCCCCTCCCTTCCCCTCCTCTCTTTTTGAGATGGAGTCAAAAAGCCCCCAGGCTGAGGCTGCAGTGCAGTTGTATGATCTTGGCGCACTGCAACCTCCGCCTCCTGGGTTCATGCAATTCTACTGCCTCAGCCTCTCAAGTAGCTGGGATTACAGGCATGTGCCACCATGCCCAGCTAATTTTTGTATTTTTAGTAGAGACAGGGTTTCACCATGTTGGCCAGGCTGGTCTCGAACTCCTGACCTCAAGTGATCTGCCCACCTTGGCCTCCCAAAGTGCTGGGATTACAGGTGTGAACCACTGCACCCGGCTCTGTTTTGCTTTCTTGTCATTTGTGTGTGCAGTGGAGTAGCACTTTTTCTTTAAAGAACTTATCCTTGGCATTCACAACTTGGCTATCTGGCACAGGAGGCCTAGCTTTCAGCCTATCTTGGCTTCCTCACTAAGCTTAAACATTTCTAGCTTTTGATTTAAAATGAGTTATATGTTACTCTCACTTGAATACTTAGAGGCCATTATAGGGTTATTAACTGGCCTACTGTCATTATTGTTGTGTCTCATAGGGAGGCCTGCAGAGAGGGAAAGAGATGGAATGGCCAGTGGTTGGAGAAGTCAGAACACAAACATTTATCATTTAGTTTCTCTGTCTTCTATGGGCATAGTTCATGGCACCCTGAAAGAATTCCAATAGTAATATTGAAGGTCTCTGATCATAGATCACCATAACAGATATAAACAATAGTGAAAAAGTTTGAAATATGAGAATTCTATGGGACACAGAGACACAAGGTGAACATATGCTGTTGGAAAAATGGCACCAGTAGACTTGCTTAGTATAGGGTTGCCACAGACTTTCAATTTGTAAAAAATGCAGTATTTGTGAAGCGTAATAAAGTAATGCACAATAAAATGAAGTGTGCCTGTAGATGTGAAAATGCTATGGTATGCTAAAGAGTACTGTGCAAATTTAAGGCGTGTTACTACGCTTGAGCTTATATTTAGTTACTGTGTCTTCTTGGATGCTAGAATAGAGTACCCAGATTCAATGGCAATTAAATTTTGAAACTTTATGGGAAAGTATAAAGTAGTATATAATTTCACAGTAGTATTACTGTGAATGAGCTGTTTGACTGAAGATGGGCTTCAAAGCTAAGATAATATGTTCACTTAACAAAATTTACTTAGTGCTGCATATGGATACGGCATTATACAGATGAAATATATCAAACCAAGCCTGGCTCTAAGTCACTGTGAAACTATGTAAGATTTTATCAGACAACCAGTTAATTTTATTCTTTTGTTTTATTGTTACTGTTATTATTTTAGAGACAGGGTCTTGCTATATTGCCCAGGTTAGACTTGAACTCCTGGGCTCCAGCTGTCCTCCTGCCTCAGCTTCCCAAGTAGTTGGGACTACAGGCACGCACCACCATACCTGACTTGTTTTATTACTTCAAAAATTTTTTCATTTTATCTCCCTGCCATAGAACTGGATATGTAAAAATTATATTCTTGTTACTGATACAAAATTGAGTGACACAGAATGTTTAACAGTAGCTTTTCTGATACTTGATGTTCCCAAAGGGAGCATTTTTTACTTATAAAGAGCTTATTCTTATTACTGTCCGCCCCCTCCCCATACCTCCCCCCGCCTTTTTTTTTTTTTTTTTTTTTTTTTTTTAGTGCAGAGTCTTGCTCTGTCACTCAGGCTAGAGTGTAGTGGTACAATCTGAGCTCACTGCTACGTCTGCCTCTTAGGTTCAAGTGATTCTCCTGCCTCAGCCTCCTGAGTAGCTGGGACTACAGGTGTGTGTAACCACACGGGCCGATTTTGTATTTTTGGTAGAGATGGGGTTTCACCATGTTGCCAGGTTGATCTTGAATTCCTGACCTCAAGTGATCTTCCCGCCTTAGCTTCCCAAAATGCTGGAATTACAGGTATGAGTCACCGTGCTTGGCCTCCTTAGTGTCCCTTGGTGACCTTTTTTGAAAGTTTATTTCAGTGATTTTTTTTTTTTTTTTTTGAGACAGGGTCTCTGTCACCTGGGCTAGAATGCAGTGGCACAATCTTGGCTCACTGCAACCTCTGCCTCCTAGTTCAAGTGATTCTCATGCCTCAGTCTCCTGAGTAGCTGGGATTATGGGCATGCACCACCATGCCTGGCTAATTTTTGTATTTTTAGTAAAGATGGGGTTTTACCATGTTGGCCAGGCTGGTCTTGAACTCCTGACTTAAGTGATCTCATCTTGACCTCTCAAAGTGCTGAGTTTACAGGTGTGAACCACTGTGCCTTGCCTGTTTCAGTGATTTAAGAGAACTCAAAATATGATCTTTAGTTAAGAAGCTATCTCTTTCTAGTTACCTACTAAATCCAAATTTGTTGCCTTTTCTGTCATCTTTACAGTCTATTGCATCTGCAGACATGGATTTCAACCAGCTGGAGGCATACTTGACTGCTCAAACCAAAAAGCAAGGTGGGATCACATCTGACCAAGCTGCTGTCATTTCTAAATTCTGGAAGAGCCACAAGACAAAAATCCGTGAAAGCCTCATGAACCAGAGCCGCTGGAATAGCGGGCTTCGGGGCCTGAGCTGGAGAGTTGATGGCAAGTCTCAGTCAAGGCACTCAGCTCAAATACACATGCCTGTTGCCATTATAGAGCTGGAATTGGGCAAATATGGACAGGTAAGTTCAACTTAATTTTCCTTTGTAAACTATATTTTTCATTACATGTTAGCTTATACATTCAGACTGATTTTATATAATAACAGCAACAGGAAAAGACACTGTTTCTTAGAATCTTTTTTCAGAGGTAGAATCATCTGAAAATTTGGATACCCTCACTTGTGGACAGAGTCTAGAAACTAGCCTCAGGGTCCTGGCAGCTGTCTCAGAAGAACAGAATGGGCCAATAATGTGATTGCGCAGAAGCTGGCCACTGCCGCCTTTGGTTAGATCTCAATATCCTTGGCATTTGGTCAGAATTTCCAAGACAATAATAGAGATAATAAATAAAGGCCAAGAGTTCAGATTAAACAACAGTCTCATCCAGTCATCTTTAATAATCAATCATGTATAGGAGGCAATGTATCTTAATTTACATTAATACATGGTTCCTAAAGATCCCTAAATGTGCAATCTCTGTCCTTGAGCTCACAAATAATTCTCAATTTAATCTTATGTACAGAGCAGTGCTTCTTTTCCCAACAGTTTCAGCAGTCATTATAGCAGATAATTTCAATGTTTATATGGTTTTTCTTGAAGTCATTCAGTTTGTGTTCCAGAGACTGCCAGCTCAGACTTTTAATGATTTGGCTTGTGTCTTTTGGAGGAAGAAAAGAAACTGATAATTAGGAAGAGAAAACCCAGGTCACTAAATTAGCTAATCACATTTATTTTCAGATAAATAATCAAATAAGTGCTTCTATTATATCCTACAATAGAAATTTATTTCTTCTTTTTTTTTTTTTTTTTTTTTTTTTTTTTTTTTTTTTTT